AGCTTATAGCATTTGACTTCAAATTGCAGTACAAACCAGGAAAATACTTGATTGTGGCTGATACCCTATCCAGGGATACTCACTTCATGGACGAACTACCAACGCCTTTTCTTGAGGACAAAAGAATGATCAAGATGGTATGTGTTAATATATCGGACAAAAAACTGGTAACGCTGCAGAAAGACACCCGAGAGGATCCTGCTTTAGTTAAAGTAATCGATTATGTGATTGAGGGGTGGCCAATATGCAAAAAAGACGTCGATGAAGATGCCAAAGTATTTTTCGATTTCAGACACCGTTTATATTTATGGAATGATCTATTATTTATAGGATCGGCCATAGTGATTCCGAAGACACAAAGGAATAATATGCTTAATTTTTTGCACCAATCGCACCAAGGGATATCTGCAATTCAAGGTTTGGCGCGAGAATCTTTGTTTTGGCCGAGAATGTCCATCGACATTGCTGAAAAAGTAAAAAATTGTGAAATTTGTCAAAAATATCAGAAATCAAAAATACGGCAGCCTTTAAAACCTTTCCCAGTTCCAGATTATCCATGGCAGACAGTATCATTGGACATATTTTATATTCAGAAAAAGCCCCATTTGTTGGTGGTCGACAGATATAGTGGCTACCCGGAGGTATTTGCATTGTACCCACCTACGGCGATTAATGTAAAAAATAAATTGAGAGAAACATTTGCATGATTCGGGATTCCGGAAGCCATGATGTCCGACAATGGACCACCGTTTCGCTCAGAAATTATGACTGACTTCTGTATAAAATGGGGTATAAAACAGCTATTTTCAAGTCCACACCTTCATAGATCTAATGGTCTGGCCGAAAGAAACATTCAAACAATAAAAAATCAATTAATTAAATGTAGAGATGAAGGGTCCGACCCATATCTGGCTATTCACCAAAATACACCAAAAAATGACCTACCTTCACCCGCACAGCTATGTTTATCGAGGAGCCTTCGATGTCAAATCCCCAGAATTACACCGCTATATAGACCGTATCAAACTAATTGGAGAAGTATAGAGAATGCCAAAAGAAAAGGACAGATCTCAATGAAAGAGCATTATGACAGAAATAGTAAAAGCTATCCCAAGGTCAATGTAGGAGAGGATGCATGGTGTCAAATGCATCCAAGGGAGACATGGACACCGGTGAAGATTTCAGCGCAGGCTGATTCTCCTCAGAGCTTTGAAGTTGTGACACCATCGGGAAATAGGTTGATAAGAAATCAAAAATTTATTAGGTCAAGGGATGGAGTCAACGAAAAAAGGCAGTTGTCTTCAGAACCAATTACCGGCTCCCCAGAAGCTCAACATCCGCATTACGACAGTCCAACGATGGGCGAGTCATCCACAGCCCCGATACAGCGGTCAAGTGAAGAGACCAATATTGAACAGAGGGAAGGCGCGACTACATCTGCTGGGATTTCACCAGAACCATCCGGAAGGCCCCGGTTTTCAAGGTTTGGAAGAGAGTTAAGAAAACCACAAAGATTTTGTTTTTAAGCAGAAGGGAGGCATGTCAACGGCCTTTTGATTTGCCTGATCTGATCGTGATGGTTGTCTAAATTCGTGACATTCTTTAATTGTTGTATTGTTGTAGCAGAGGGGAAACATGTTGTGATATGTTAAATAACATATGTTACGTGTTATATTTATTATCTATTGTTAACTATGCAAAATCATGCCATTTGTCAATTGTTTTAAACTTATGTGAATTATTTCCTTTTTATCTCTATCTTGTATAAAAGGAGATTACTAGATTGAATAAACATCCAGTTCAACTTGTAAGTCGGAGCGAGCCTTGTCCAGATAACACATAAACTTTACAATAGTACCCAATGCGGGAATCGAACCCGGATCATAATTGTCGAAAATCAACGGTTTAGACCATCCTTCCAAAAAAGGAACGTTAAAGTTGAGAAATATTTCTAATATTTAGCGATAATAGTTGTCATATATATCTTTTTATGACTTCATTCAGGTTATATAAAATGTTCATAAATTATTGACACTTTTTGAAATTATATAAAGCCCAAAGCCTAAACATTAATTATTTGTGACTATTGACTGATATATTTAGTAGTAAGCGCAACGATACTGACAAAGAAATAGCTATATATTGAATCTATTTTGATTAATTTGTTATTTTTTATTATTGAGCGCATTTTTAACTTGGAGTTTCTTTTTCGACTAATTAGTCTACAGGTGGATGTTGCTCAATTTGACGAAGCTGGTGCTGTGGCTTTGTCAACGACTTGAAACCGCTTTGACGGGAGAAGCGACTTTTACCTTTATAGATCAATTTCCTCTCGTCGAATTTCTCGTCTATATTTTGATTATATATTTGACCAAGCCATTCGAAACCATGGTCTCTAAGTGAGCGCTTCTCAGTTTGTCAAAGCTGATGTTGTGGCGATATCACCGACCCGAGGCCGCTAGTTTGCGGTGACGGTCGATAGGTAACACTTAGTTTTAGCGTCTATTTTGACGGTAACTATTAATTTTATTTGAAGATTGTAAGAAGATTTGTAAGATTTGAATCTACATTGATAAATTTATCAATAATATATCAAGGAACATCTAGTGAGGTATAAAATATGAGTATTTGAAATTTAGTCGTTACAAGAATTATTGATATTCGCACTAATTTTATTATTAAAACATATGTAATATATATATGGCATTCTTATATAAATATATTTAAAGTAAATATTTGGCATTCTACAATATTTATGTAGTCTATTAGATATGCCAAGAAATATTTTATCTAAAAACATTTAATTCTAAATAACTAAAAATATGTTTTATATTTTCGTCATGTATACATCAAAATATATTAAAAATGAACATGAACATTTTAGAAAATATATTTTCATTTGAATATTTATATAAAATAGAGGATAAAAATATAAATATTGATATAATATATATTCATAGAAATATATCGGTGATATGTTTGTTTATCCACACATAAGGATATGATATTTATATTTGATAGAGAAACCATATTTAATTTTATATGAAAATATTAGGTATATTATGAATTATATATTTCACAATCTTTAAGCATATAGGTTTTCAATGTATAATATTTTCTACTATTAATATTGTAAAGAATTTTTGGAACCCTCTTATTCAACCCGCTATAACAATTAAATGATAAAGGGAAGACGTGTTTACAATTTTTTATATTTTCATATTTAAATGAATAATTATCTCCATGCTCATTTCTATTGTAATCAAAATAATTTATCATTCGAATAGGAATCAACGTTATACATATTTGCGAATTTTGGATAGATTTATATATTCATTATATAAATATTTTTTCTGAATAAATATTTTGACCATTGACAAAGACGGTTTCTACCTAGCATGTAAAAACCTTTTATTAATTCTACCAAACTTCATTACATATTCAACACACAAATTTAATAACTCACACTATTTGAATAAATTATATTTAAATTTTTGTGTATAAACATATAAGGCCATTCAATAACTAGAACTTATATATGTAAAAGGTTTTTCGATAATCAAAAGGGAAATTTTGGTTATATCAAAAATAAAAGTTACATAGCATGGTCGTTCACATGAATATTTTATATGGAGGTTAATAAATTGAAAAATAAGGAACAATCCTTCGAAATATTTCACCTTCTTATTGGACGAAAAACATAATAAAAGAAACTCGTCTTCCTTCACCATGTTTTTCGTCTAATTTCAATCCAGGAATAATTATTTATCTATTTTTCAACTTCTGTCCAATTTTTATATAGATTCAGGTATATCTTTATCATTGATTTCAAATTTACGAATTCCTCTATAATCTTCTAACAGAAATATATATAAAATCTGAATGACTCCTCTATCATATAATTGACAATTCAATATATTTTATTGACTCTTAGTCAATTATTATAAAAATCAAAGATAAATTAAACAAATATAAATGTAAAACGATGTTTGACAAAATATACCGCAAATGTTTCTTTTGAACGAAAAATCGTAATTTCCAATATTTAAGGAGAAATATCGATTATTTCTAACTTTAGGGATGAAGTATGAAAGGATAAATTATGAAAAGTAATGATGAACGGAAAAAAAAAGTATCCATGGAATAGAATCGAACCCACAGTGTTCCGCTCTGGACACTTGGACACTGTACGTTCCCATCCTTGGACACTTTTATTTTTCCGTTTATTATTACTCTTCATAATTCATCCGTTTATACATTATACTTAAGGTTATAAATAGTCCTTATTTCTCCTTAAATATTGAAAATTACGATTTTTCGTTCAAAAAAAAAAACATTTGCGGTAAAATTTGTCAAAAATCGTTCTACAATAATAAGCCGCATTATATTTATTTTATTATAAAGATAAATGTGATTATTTACAATTTGGTGATAAAAATATATATCAAAAAACTTTTCTCAGGAAGGGAGATTCTTCCATCTTGACCGAATCCTGCTCCAGACAAGAACAGGATCTTTTTAAACCGCTCTCAGTTCAATGCTGAGATGTTACTTATAGAGAAACGTTTTGGAAGAAGGCAAGATGGCCAAAGCGTCGTCATCCAGGTCTCGCCCGAATCAATCATATAATATATATTTTATCTATGAATGTGTATATGAATATTTTATAAGCGCATAGAAAGATACTTTGAAAAATTACAAAACGGCCACGCTCTAGCTACTACGTCGTTTGTCTCTATCATCAAATATTAATCCTTACTATCCCAGATAAAAATAAAAGTGTTAAGAACAACCTCAGCTAGCTTGTCTAAGCACTTTATAAATTTGTAAAACTCAATCAACACATCCCTACTAAATTATTTGTTGAGGAGTAAATCTGTATTACAGTTTATATATATATTGAAGCATCTTCGATAATATTTCTATTTATATAGAGTGATTTATTAATATATACAGTTATCAGCGTCATGCACAATTCTTTCTTAATTCTGTCACCGTTTGCTTTTGGTTCAGTGGTAGAATGCTCGCCTGCCGCGCGAGCGCCCCGGGTTCGATTCCCGGCCGATGCATTTTTTTTTTTACAATTTTCAAAACTCATTTATATTATTAAAATATATGTGCTTTTCCTGTCTATGTACATATTTATGGTCTATGTAAACAAGTATACAAGTATGTATACAAGTTATTTGCAAATTGCGTGGGAAATTTGCCCTTTCGCTCGCAAGCAGCACCTCTAGCGGTGAAGATGGGAGGCAATATCAGCTGACCTAATAAACATGTAAAACATGTTTTAACAGGACATAGAGAAAAATCTGGAAAATATATTTTTCGGATTATCAGTCAAGAAAAATGAATTGACAGGTTCTGGGAAAAAAGTGGTTGTTTTTTATTCAGAAAATGATGATGACAATATTGCTGTATCATATTTGATTATCAGATACAAAATTATATCCGGAAAATTTCCAAAAAGCAGAGACGACGGGTGAAGCCAGTTCATTTTTAGTATGCAGGAATAAAATTCTAACAGAAAAACATTTATTCGAGCAGAAGACACAAAGCCAGATCATCTCTTTATAAAAATATCGCTTCTCAGACACAAAGTTTGGAGCGGGACGTTTCACAAGAATGACATCAACGGGCGCCAATTTATAATTGTAACGAATAGTATTTGAATAAAAGCATTTAATCGGGTAAAACCCGGGCATTGCCCTTTCTTAATCAATTCTGTCACCGTTTGCTTTTGTGAATGGAATAAATACCCAAATATGGCCATTTCTAATAACCATCGGTGGTTCAGTGGTAAAATGCTCGCCTGCCACGCGGGCGGGCCGGGTTCGATTCCCGGCCGATGCATTTTTTTTTTTTTTTTACAATTTTTAAAACTCATTTATATATTTTACAAGAATGACATCCACGGCGCCAATTTATAATTTTAACGAAGAGTATTTGAATAAAAGCATTTAATCGGGTAAACCCCGGGCGTTGCCCGGGTCATTCGGCTAGTATTAATATTTTTAATTAAAAAGGCATATATAGGATCAAATATGATTTATTTCAGTTGGCTGTACGCCAACCCTTTTCATTTTAATATATTTTTTATATTTTTTGATATTTTTGTTCCAATATATACCTGTTTAATTAAAAATGTATTTATGGCATGCTCTATTTTAAAAATAGATACAGTTAAACCTGTCTATAGCGCTTCCTTTAAATAACGCCTTCCTCTCCATAGCGCCGCCCTCTCTATAGCACCCAATTTTATATACGTAGTACGATGCGATTTACAATAAAAGTGACCTGTCTATATCACCCCCTCTCTATAGCACCCTATTTTGGTAAGTCCCAAAAAGGGGCGATATAGACAGGTTTAACTGTATTTATATTGTTCTGAAAATAGAGCAATCCATATTTATATAATTAGATAATAAAAAAGCATATATTGGATTAAATGAAATATTTATTTGCCAATATATTTTGGTTGGCTGAACGCCAACCTATATCGAGGCATTACATATTTGAATTAACAAACTCAGCGCCGCATCACATATAATAAAGCGTTTGTTCGTTGAAGCCGAATAGGATTGGTCCATTCTGTGTCACGTGTTCAAGTTACGGATGTTATGGATGTTTGTTTGTTCCCTAACTCCTCTCTTAATATTTTTATTTTATACGACAATATTTCGTATACATATTACATTTAGTCCCGGAATTATTCAGGTAACTTCAAAATTATATTTAAACTTTTAAAAATAACGCAGTTAGCAAAAATACGCATTTAGCTCGACGTTAAGCTCGACGTTAGCGACACGCTCGGCCATTGATTGAAATAAAACGAAATAATTTGATATATAAATATTCGTAATTTACACTTTAAATACTTTTCATACTTGCCTTCTCTTTTCTAATTTTTATAGTCTAAATATTTAAATGCGTACTTTTAACGACGACATTTTTCATTTTAGTAAATCTTAGTAATCTTTAGTAAATTTTACACTTTAATAACATTTTTCATTTTTAATTTTTCATTTTAGCACCGTTTTTATTTTGTTAAGGTCATTTTTCATAAAATGTCTGTTTGTCTGTATGTATGTTTGTTTCCTAACTACTCTCTTAATATTCTATTTTATACGCCAATATTTAATTACGCCAGAAATTGGCTATTTTAATATTGCTTATATTAAATATGCCTATGCGTATTTTTATTTTATTAAATATTTATATTCTTTATTCGATTCGCTCGGCCATTGATTGAAATAAAACGAAATAATTTGATATATAAATATTCGTAATTTACACTAGCCACATCAGCCACATATTTGATAATATTCATAATTTACACTTTAAATACTTTTCATACTTGCCTTCTCTTTTCTAATTTTTATAGTCTAAATATTTAAATGCGTACTTTTAACGACGACATTTTTCATTTTAGTAAATCTTAGTAATCTTTAGTAAATTTTACACTTTAATAACATTTTTCATTTTTAATATTTCATTTTTCATTTTAGCACCGTTTTTATTTTGTTACGGTCATTTTTCATAAAATGTCTGTTTGTCTGTATGTATGTTTGTTCCCTAACTACTCTCTTAATATTCTATTTTATACGCCAATATTTAATTACGCCAGAAATTGGCTATTTTAATATTGCTTATATTAAATATGCCTATGCGTATTTTTTATTTTATTAAATATTTATATTCTTTATTCGATATTTAGTTAATATTTATTTCGATATTTAGTGAATATTCAAAATAGACGCTCAAAATAAAATAGAATAAAATTTCAATATATATCGAAAATTGATCTATGTCACATTGTTATATTATATAGTGTTATATTATAGTGTAACGGTTTTTTTTTGCATTTTTACACTATACATTTTTACACTATACTATAAAATGTTGATATTATGCCGTGAGAGTACAACTGAGAGTACACACTAAATAAAATAGTAAGAATAATGTTATTTCCAATTAAGGTTTTTCAATAACGAAAACATATTGATGTTAGAGTTTCAAAGAAAATCTAAAAATGAAAATGTTGTTAAAGTAAAAAATTAAATTGTGCTGTCTTATATTATTGTTTTTTATTGTTGTCTCTTATAAATGTCTTAAAGTTGCAAAACCTATATATAAAGAAAAAAGAATGACCGTTTCTCTTTATTATATCTACCTTTGCTAACAGGGACATGTTTCGAGGAAGATCAAATTCCCCTGCACCTTTGTGGCCAACTTGATCAAGTTTGCCCAAAATGTAGAGCAAAGTATTTCGAATTGGAATAAACGACATACTGTAAAACTTTTCATAAATGCTGTTCCAGAGGAAAAGTCGAACTTGAACCGATTCAAACCTCTGAAGCAAAGTATTTCGAATTGGAATAAACGACATACTGTAAAACTTTTCATAAATGCTGTTCCAGAGGAAAAGTCGAACTTGAACCGATTCAAACCTCTGAACTACTTGAAAGTTTAATGACTGGAAAGCATCAACTTTCAAAGAACTTCATGGAAAACATCCGTTCCGTCAACAGTGCCCTAGCATTCGCTTCAATGGGAGCAAACCTTGCACCTCCTCCTGGATATGGGCCCTATTGTTTCCGAATCAACGGACAGATTTATCACCGCTCAGGTGCCTTGCATCCTGAAAATGATGATCATCTATTTACCTGAACCAGTTTTTAGCCATGGTCAGTTATATGTTGCTTTTTCTAGGGTGAAAAGCTCTAAGTGTGTTAAAATAAAAATAATCCACGGAAGCAAGCAAGGAAGGCTTCTTGAAAATAGTTCAGCTTGCTTCACCAAAAATGTTGTTTACAAAGAAATGTATTCATTGTAAGTTCACCTCTTTTAAAGTAAAAATGTTAATTAAAAAAATATCAATAAAATGACCCGAAAGGTAAAATGTTGCAACGCTCGGAAGGGGATCGATCCCTGACGGACCATGAACGTTATTTTACCTCGAACGCTTCCGATTACATATTATTAAGTATCAAAAAGGAATGTGAGAAATAAAATTAGGAATCCACCTGCTCTAGCCGATTCCGTCCTTGGACGGGCTTTTCTACTAGTAGTGTAATAATATCACAATTGAAATAAATACTTGGAAAAATTGCTTTCAACTGTGATATTTTTACACTTTGCGGCTCTAAGTTTGTTTATACAAAAATGTAATGCTTTGATAAATGTTGGCGTTCAGTCAACCGAAATATTGGAAAATAAATATTTTATTCAATCCAATATATGCCTTTTAAAAATAAAATTCATTGTTATTATAATATGACCTTTTTTTAGTAAATATTATTACTGATCTATAAATAATTAACCTAATAGTTACTTGTGTAAAAATGTGAAATATTATTTTCACACAAATACTTGTATTTTTTTTAATTTCATAAAACCTTTCTACTTCACAATCTATAAATGGAATTTTGACATCGCTTTGCTTATTGAAAGTGTGAATGTGAAATGTTCAGGTCCGAGGCATGCCGCTACCGAGAGTCACGTGGTACCATTACGAGCAGAAGATCAACGAGGACTTAAACAGAAGATTAGGGGATTTCGTGGATGGCCGAGCCGTGTTGACCAGCTTCGTGAACATCAGCGCAGTGGGGCCCGAGCATGGAGGTCGCTACACCTGCGAGGCCTCGAATGATGCTGGGACAGCGCGACACTCGGCCCGCTTGGACGTGCTGGGACCCCCGGTGGTACTGCCCATGGCCAACATCACCGTTACCTCGGGCGGCGACCTACGTCGGGAGTGTGCCTACAGTGGACACCCGGTGTCCCGCGTCATGTGGAGGAGAGGTAAGGCCCCACGTAGCCATTATTTCTCTTATTTAACTATTTACCTAATTCTTTTACTATAAGTCTAAGTAATATGTAGTAGCATTAGTCTTAATATTACTATCCTCCTTCTTCAGTGCCTTCCTCTACTGATGGTGGGCCACATGGTCTCTCCATACTTCCTCCTTCAATCTCTTTCTTTATTGAGGGTGGGCCACATGGTCTCTCCATATCTCCCTCTTTCAATGTCTTCCTTTATTGAGGGTGGGCCACATGGTCTCTCCAT